CAAATGCAAGGTCAGTTTTCTAAAAGAAGGCCATTGGTTTTCTTCCAGCTCCTATGCTCAATATGCTCATATATGTGAGGAATATGGTATTAATTTGGATTGACTGTAGACGTATAATGTGAGTGATAGATACGTGAATTAACACATCAAGAGTTAATTATGTTTTAATATTTTATTAAATATTTAATTTTAAATGTTAAATATTTTAATTTTACTTTGAATTCTGTTATGAAAAGAATAATGTATTGGTTTAAGTTTAAAGAATCATATATTCTTAGTTTTAGTGCTTAAATTAAAACAAGTGAAAGATAATTATTTAAATATTCAACTATTATTGATCATTGCTAATGTCATTTTGTATTTTCCTGGCTAAAGTTGAACTCTCTTTGATTTTTTTTTTTAAGAGAGTCTCTTCTTATTTATTTATTTATTTATTTGTTTGTTTATGAATGAGAGAGGGTCTTACTATGTAGTCCAGATTGGCCTCTTATGATTCTCCTGCCTCAGCCTCTATATTGCTGGAATTATAGGCATATACCATGATGCCAAGCTTAGGAGTCTAAGATATTTTATATTTTTTATTTGTTTTGTGGCTCTGGAAATGGAACCCAGGGCCTTGTATATTCTAGGCAAGCACACTACTTCTGAGATACACCCTCAGCCTCATTTGATAGATTTTAACTTCAGTGTTTTGTTAAGCCTTAAGATAGGAGGCTTGACATATAACCATGCTTATGTATTTCTATAACTAGTAAACTATTTCTTAATGATTTGAGACTGTGGATTACTTAAGTTCTAAAACTATTTCAAAAGTAGTTTTTATTCCTTACCTTCTTCGTCTTCAACTTGTTTTCCACCTAATTATTTGTTTTCCTTTTACTCTGAGCCGATAAACACTCTTGTCAGGCAGGGCCGCTGATGACATCATATCAGTGGTATTCCCAAGGTTGTGTTTGTGTTAGTCAGTTTTGTGTTGCTGTGACAAATACCTAAGAGAAACAATTTAGAAGGAAGAAAGATTTATTTTGGCTTACTATTTCAGAGATTTTAGTCCATGGTCACATGGCTCTTTTACTTTAAGCCTATGACAAGGCAGAAAGAACATCATGGCTGGGAGGGTTTGCAGGACAAATCTGCTACCTCATAGCAGACAGGAGGCAGAGAGACCAAGGGCCCAGGGACAAGGTGTATCTTTCAGGACACTCCCTCAGTAGCCTACTTCTCCATGTAGGCTCCATCTCCCATTTCTACCACTTTCCAATAATGTTGTCATATTATGAATCCATCAAGGAATTAATTCACTAAAGAAATTAGAGCCTTCATGATCTAGTCACTTCCCCAAAGCTCATCAGCTTGCATCCACCCTATAACATATGAGTTTCTTGGGGAGTACTTCATATCCAAACCATAACAACTCACACAATAATCAAGGTGCTCTTTTTTTTTATTCATTTATTCACATGTGCGTACATTGTTTGGGTCATTTCTCCCCCTCAGGGTGCTCTTGACTCTTACTTTGAGTTGATAAACCCTTCTTTGTATTTCTGCTTATCCATTTTTTAGGAATTATTTTTCTAGTAAATTAAAATGCCTAGTGAAGCCAGGCACCGGTGGCTCACACCTGTGAGAGCTTCTCAGAAGGCAGAGATTAGAAGGATGGTGGTTCACAGCCAGCATGGCCAAATAGTTGGTGAGACCCTGTCTTAAACAAACCCATCACAAAAAAGGGCTGGTGGAATGTCTCAAGGTGTAGGCCCAGGGTTCAAGCCCCAGTATTTAAAAAAAAAAAAAAAAGCCTAGTGATACCATTACCAGGAAGGTCTAAAGATATCTAAAAATATAAAAGTGTCCAAAATTGGACTCATTCTTGTCGATGCTGAGAGGGAAAGACGTTGGCCACTAATGTGTGCCTCATCAGAATGATGATATTTCTGTAAAATTACTTCAGTTTAGTGTCTTTAGCTTAGTGTCAGTGTTTCGTGGGTTCCAGATACTAAATTTATGTTTACCAAGTTCATAGAAAATTGACAGAATGCATGGCATTCTGTTACTTAATTTTTCTCCTTGTAGAGTTACAGAGCTCAATCTAAGATACTTACCATAATTGTCTGGACCTTAAAACTGTTTTGTTTTTGTCTGAAATTTGTCACAGTGGAAAATATACCTATATTTTATTTACTAAATTATATTTTTAGATATTTATCTTATAGAAATATTTGCAAAAGTATACAGAGATCAGCATATTTCATGTTTTTAAATTTAACAGTAGTTATACCTATGGATGGATCATGATGCTTTTTGATTTATTATTTAGTCAACAATATTATAAACACTCATGAATCCATCAGCCTAAGAGCTGCAACATTAATAATTTAAATCACTTTTGTGCTTATCCCTGTTCCATACTTCTTTCTACTTGTACAAAATTAGCATTTAAAAATTATGGTTAAATACATATGACATAAAATTTACTATTTCAACTTTTTTTTAAATCATTTCTTTTTCTTTTTTTATCCTTCTGATGGTGTATATTGAACTCAGAACCTTGTACATCCTTTGCTAGGCAAATACTCTAGCCCTGTTTTAACCATTTTTAAGTGTACACTTCTGTGGCATTGAGTACATTCACATTGTGCTAAACATTTAAAACTTCTTTTTCAATGAGGTATATATATATATTATTTTCTTTATGAATTTTAATGAAACACTTACTATGGTGTATAGAATCCTTTGAGATTTGGTGGGAACTTACTTTTTTGTGTGTGTGGTGTAGGGGGTTAAACTTAGGGCCTCGCACATGTGAGGCAAGTGCTGTACCACTGAGCTACATCCCTAGCCCCAGGGATTTGACTGTATGCTACCACTGGAGGCTTCACCTCCATCCCATTTCATTCTGATTATTTTGGAGATGGGGTCTCTCAAATTGTTTGCCTGGTATAGCCTTAACCTTCAGTCCTTTCAATCTTAGCTTCTCAAGTAGCTAGGATTACAGGCAGAACCACTGTGAGTCGCCCTATTTCATATACTTTTGAAGGGCTATACTATAGCAAACTTTCCTAGGTTTTAGTCCTGGTTCCACCATTTATTAATTTTGTCACCTTGGGCAACTTTCTTAATGTCTGTGCTATGAACTGAATTATGTCCCCCAAAATTCACATGTTGAAGCCTAACCCTCAATGTGGTAGTATTTGTAGATATGGTACCTTTGAAAGATAATGTTTGGTTAAGATAAGGTCATGAGGTTGGAGCATTCATAAGTGAATTAGTGTCTGTCTCCCACTCTCCACACACACAGACACACACACACACACACACACACACACACCCCTTTTTTGCCTTTAGACTTGCTAGGCAAGTTGTCTAGCACTTGAGAAATGCCCCCAGTTCTTTGCTTTTCATGTGTTTTTCAGGTTAGGTCTTGTACTTTTGCCTGGGCTGGTCTTGTACTGAGATCCTCCTCCCTTCACCTCTTGAGTAGCTGGGATTTCAGGTGTTAGTCACCAGTCCTGGCCCCTGGAATTAGTGCCGTTTTAAGAAGTGATGCCAGTGCTGGGCACTGGTGGCTTATGCCTGTAATCCTAACTACTTAGGAGGATTGAGGTTTGAACCCAGCATGGGCAATTAGTTTGAGAGACCCTATCTCAAAAATAACCAACACAAAACAGTACCGGGGGACTGGCTCAAGTGATAGAGCTCCTGCCTAGCAAGCCTGAGACTGAGTTCAAAACTCCAAGACCACCAAAAAAGAAAGATACACCAGAGTGTTTATATTCTCTCTTTCTTCATGCTGACAATTTAATCTTCAATTTTCATTCTCCTGAACAGTAAGAAAATAAATTTCTGTTATTTAAGTCACCCAGCCCCATAGTATTTTGTTATTGTAGACTGTGTTGACTAATACAGACTTTGGTACCAAGAAGTACATTTGCTTTGGTTATATGGCCAGAAGAGGGTTGATGGGTCATATGGTAGTTCTATTTCAATTACTTTACGAGCCCTTTCATACTGTTTTCCATAATGGCTGCACAATCTACATTCCTGCAAAGAGTTTAACAGTACCCTTTTCTCCACAGTTTTGCCCACATTTGTAATCTCTTGACTTTTTTTGATAAAAAACAATTCTAATAGGCATGAGGTAATATTGATAGAGGCATTAACTTATGTTTCCCAGATAACCAGTGATGTAAAATACCTTTTCATATAGCTGTTGGCCATTATTAAGTCTGATTAGGGGCTTGCTTTGTCTGCCTCTTTTGGCTCTTCTGAATTGCCTGTCTTTCTTGTACTTGGATATGTAAGGCAAAAATAAAATATGAGCTATTGCCTTATAGTTTCTTACATTCTGAAGTCCCCAGACCACCTTAATTCTTCTCTCTGCCTTTCATAGTCTTTATGTTCATTTTATCAATTATGTTATAAGGTTTTTAGCTATACTTACCAGGAGAAATTAAATTTATATGCTTGCTTTTAAAAGTGATTTTTATGAAATAATTTTAATCGACGTTGCTAGTAATTGACATCAGAAAAAAATTTTCTAGTCCTCAGAACAATAGGATTCCTCTGTTTGTGGATGTTTCAAAGCTCTATTACGTAAACCTTATGTAATAGTAAGGTTTAACATGAAGAAAATGGGCTGTTATAAACTATTAAAATGATTATACCTGTGAATTTATTGACATGAAATGATATTCAAAATGCATAATATGTGAAAATAGGTTTCAAAATAATATGATTTATGTTACCAATATATGTGTGTTGATGATGATTTGGAATGACAAAAGGAGATATATTTCTGGGAAGATAGAAATTTGGGACACTATTGTCTGCTTTTTGTTACTTAAGGCTTTTAATTCTTTTTCTGGACTTATTGATTTTATAATAAGAATTGTACTTAAGTTTTAAATTTATATTTTCACATATTTTCTCACATTGAGACATTGTAATGCTTTATTTGTTTTCTAAATTCATAGTCTATGATCATTATGCTTGATATCTTACAGGTTCCTCTACCAGGCATGAAATGGGTGGATAACCACAAAGGTGTGTTTAATGTTGAAGTTGTTGCTGTTTCATCTATTCATACACAAGTGAGTTTTAATACTATTATAATCAACTTATATGTAAATGAATTAAATCTGTGACCTTGTACATATGTTGGTTTTGTTATTTGTTGTTGGATTTATACGAATATATGTAGATTAAAAACATAGATTTAGAAGTTGCAGTGTTTTTTAAGAAATGCACAAAATGTCATTAACTACCAGTAAAAGTAAATATTTTGCTTTTGAAAATGTCATTGATTTATTTAAAATAATTATGTTACTTGTTTCTAAGTTGCTGGTGCATGGCAACTTAGGTTCACAGATTCAGGTATTCTAAGTACACAGTTTTTAGGCATCATTCTTTTCAGGTTCTTCAGTCTAATTCTTGGACTGCCAGGTTCTTCTCTAAGATTTTATATTTAATCTTTTTGTATCTGGGATGTTTTTTTCCTCCTTTTATTTCACTTTTCTTCAGTAGAGTTTCTCCTTACCTCAGAAAAGTTACCTTTTTTGGTAACTCATTTATTTATTTATTTTTTCTTTTATTCATACGTGCATACAATGTTTGGGTCATTTCTCCCTGCTTTCCCCCGCTCCCTCCCTTCCCCCCCTCTTCTCTCTCCCCTTACCCCCCTTGCTACCAGGCATAAACTATTTTGCCCTTATCTCTGATTTTGTTGAAGAGAAAGTATAAGCAATAATAGGAAGGACCAAGGGTTTTTGCTAGTTGAGATAACGACAGCTATACAGGGTGTTGACTTGCATTGCTTTCCTGTACTTGTGTGTTATTTGGTAACTCATTTAGACATAGCAGCCCCATCACCCTGTGTCAGCTGACCTTATACTTATTGCTAAGTCTATATGTGTATCTCTCTGTTGCACTTTCACTCTCTCATACATGTGTATACATCCTTACCTACACACATATTTATTTGTTGCTTTCCCCCAATTAGATGGTAAGTTTCATGATGTCAGTAATGTAGCCTCTCAAGGAAAGACTTCCCTTCAGGGACCTTACAATGTAATAGGAAAGTGTAAAATAATTATAATACAATAAAATTAGTACTCTTAGATATGTTAGCTAAATATTTTTAGGTATGAGGAAGGTGTTTGTTCTGCTAAGGACTCAGAAGTTGCATTATTAAGTATGTATTTACCATGCAGAGAAAGAAAGAGTGGGCAATCAGATAGGAACTGCAAAATGACAATGGTGTGTGGTTAAGAACCTGCATTTAATCTAGTGGGAATACAACTTACATACATATTGTGAAAGACCTTGAATATCATAGAGTTTAAACTCCAAATAGATGGTTATTTCTAGCTTGAATAGAGAATATGAAAGATGTAAATTTGGGAGCATACTGAAGGAGAGCAATTATGCAGCTATATGAGTTTATTTTTGAAGCTGTTGAATTTGAGTGCCTGTGTACTGCAGATGGATATGTCCTATAGATAGTTGTAATTAGTTTGGAGTTTGGGGTTGGAGGTGGTGAATAAATGTGATAACTGAAATTAAATTGGTGAATGTGCTGTTCCAAGGATAAAATGTATAGTGAGATTGCTTCTCGGCCTTTTGGCTAAGATCAAGTGTAGTATCTGTTCTTATCAGTTTAATATCTGATACGTCCTCTATCCGAGGACAATATATTAAATGGACTTTTGGAATTAGGAGATGGAATAGGAGCTTGCTCCATCCACTCCTCGCATCGACCTGGTATTGCAGTACTTCCAGGAACGGTGCACCCCCTTCGGGGGACCTATAAAAAAAAATGTATAGTGAGAAGAAGCAAGTGCTTAAAATATTATTCAGGGTTCACCAGACCATGAAGGAAAGGGGTGGTATGCGGGGGAACGGGGCTTACCAAGCCACCTCAAGTTCAGTGATTTGCCTGGAAGATACAGGGTAAGTCATGTAAGTCAATACTCATAGCTATGATTTATTTTATTGAAAGGATGAAAAGCAGAGTTAAAAGGTGCATGGAGTGAAGTCTAGAGGAAATGAGGCACAAGCTTCCAAGAGTGTTCTCCTAGTGGAGTTACATAGGACATATGAAGCAACATATGTCTGGCTGTCTGCCAGGTAGCTCAGGAGACTTATTTCTCAGAGTTTTTATTAGGGGCTTGTCATGTAAGCACTCTCCGCCTAACACAAAATTCTAGAATCCCAGAAGGAAGGCAGGTGTTCAACATAAAACATACTGGTCACACAAACACTTTAGGCACATAAGCCATCCCCTATCAGTGGAGCCCAGCCTGGAATCCAAGTTTCCCCACACTGGCTGAAAACAAACCTTGTACTAGGCCTTTCAGAGAATAGTAGTCTTATACCTGCTGTTAACTCATTTTCACAGTGAGCTACAGACAAATAAGATGACATAGTAGCTTTATACTATGTTTAAAAAAAATTTGGTAATATGTAGATTTTATTTAGTAAGTTCATGTAGACCAGGAACAGAATCTAGCCAGTAGAGTTTTTCCTTTTCTGATGTTACTGAATGTGTCTCTATGCTTTTTAATATACCTTACTGCTCTGTTGATGAAAAAATTAATATTATAGTTTGCTGTCAAAACATATTCTTTCCTTTAATGAAGAATTCTTATTATCACACTGTATCTTTTTAATTGTACAAGTATACAGTTTTCAGCCTTATTCTCCTAGCTCTATACTCATTGTTAGTTTTTTTCTCTTTTTAGAGTTGCCAGTATGTTTTATCCTTTACTTCTTGATTTGTTTTTTTGGAGGCAGGTTCATACATTATCTTTATATGACAAAAAAGGATTTGGGGCAAAATCTGTAGCTGAATCAGAATCTATAAAATGTAGGAGAAAATAAAGTGCAAGCATTTACTGTGTAGCATCCTTGCATTCACAATCCTGATGACTAATACTCAAAAGTTTATAAATCTTGCAACTTCATAAAACAAATTGGTCAAAAATATTATAACCTCTTTAAAAGGATCTATTGATCAATAGATGTTTCTTGTGATTTTTTTAACTCTTTGAAATACAGTGGATGTATTATAATGATGTAAGACAAATTGTTCATGTATTATAACCTCTTAAAAAGAATTGGTCAAAGAGAGTAGAATAATACAATATTAAATGTAAAGCTGTGTAATATTACTACCTTTTCTTAAAATTTATTTACATTATTATGTAAAACTTCTCGTAGTTTCAACAGACTTTTGTCTATAACCAATTGGTCAGAACTATATAGCACATGAACTGTCTCTTAGTATAAAGGAGCATAGGAGAATAAACTTCTGTCCTGGGGTCTGGTACATTACTGCTTTAAACAAGACTGGTTCTGTTAGCAGTGAGGAAGGAAGTTAAATAATAATAGTCAATGTTTAGTCAGGAGACAAATCCACCAGTAACTTGAATGATAAAAATTTTTTTCATTTCTTCATTTTTTCCTTTATTGTTGTTATGGGTGAGGGTACATTGTGGCATTTATACAATGTATCAAATATATCATACATGAATTCACCTCCTCAACCATTCTCCTTCATTCTCCCCTCCCCAGGAAAATTTTAAGATAAATAATTTTAACTAGGTTAAAGCTAATTCACTGCTAAATGGGGGTAAAAGACAATTCTGTATGCTGATAACAAAGGTAACAATTGCAGAAAGTATCAAGGAAAGAACTTAGAAACCTAGGGGATGATCTGAAGAGAGGAGGCTGCTGCTGTAAGAACAGTTGCCATGCTGTGATGTCAAAGAAACTTGGTGGAGAGTTCCTGCCATGGAAGTATGAGAACCACCACTTTTTCCTGTCCATGTCCCTCACCTCTGATCTGCAGTGTTTACATTTGCTAGCCACCACTTTGAAAACAAACAAGAAGAGAATGAAAGTCTCTTTTAACTCATCAAACCTTGCAGACTGCCTCCCGCATCCCTACTATTTGAGTCTGTCATAGCACCAGTGTTACACAGTAAAAATGGTGGGTTTGGAGTTGAGAGGCAATAAATTAACAATGGGTACAGGTAGGTTCTAAAATACCTGCCATAATAATTGAGTTCCAAATAAGCCAGACTCAAACTAAAAAAAAACCAAAAATCCTTCATTAGTATCAGTGCATTTCTTGAGTAACCAATAGTATTTGCAGTGGCTATTTTACAATAATAAAGGGGGGTAGATGTGTTTAATTGCAAACAATGTTTACCTATGTGTACCTTTTGTGTTAATTTGTGGTCCGTAGTTCTTTAGGTTCGGGAAATTTACATAGTTATAATTGCTTAGTGCTTTTGTTGATTCTTTGTTTTAGGATCCTTACCTTGACAAGTTTTTTGCTTTGGTCAATGCTCTGGATGAACACATGTTCCCAGTCCGAATTGGGGATATGCGAATCATGGAAAATAACTTAGAAAATGAATTAAAGAGCAGTATTTCAGCATTGAATTCATCTCAGTTGGAACCAGTAGTTCGATTTCTTCATCTTCTGCTTGATAAGCTGATACTTTTAGTTGTTAGACCTCCTGTCATTGCTGGCCAAATAGGTAATTTACTTTGCTTGGGATGAATCATAAAATGTATAATTTGGCATTTCTAGCTTTTGTTACTAAAAAAAAAAAAGAACCATGATTCCTATTTGCCATCTATAAGGACTATGTTTGATTTTTTTTTTGAGGGTGTATTATTTACTTGTTTATAATGCCACAAGATAACATTTTTGTTGTTTGTGTTTATAAAATGTATAATATAGACTTCTACTGAAATTATGAAATCTAATTAATTTATTCATTTACCAAATGCTTATTAAGCACTTCTGTGAATCAGACACTGATCTGCACTGTCCAGAGCATGGTTCTCAACTTTAAGATTTCACAGACCAGTTACGAAAACAGACCAGTAGATAAATCATGTTACATTTTGTAGAACATATAATCAATCCAGTTTACATCTTCATTCATCTGCTGTCCTCCATTTAATATAGCTTTTCTGTCCTTCATTTGCTCAGATCGCTGTATTTTTTTTCTTCTGGATTCTGGAAGGAGAGGTGTTTCTCATTCCTACTCTTTTCCAAGTTTACTTGTCTACTTTTGCCAACAGCTTCCATGCAAATTCTGTAAAGAAACTGAGCTTGAAAGAAATTTGAGATAAACTTATAGAAATTTTGTGACAAGTGGTGCACAAAGGAGAGACGTATTCAACTCCTTCAGATTTCTTTTTAGGGAAGACTTACAAGTGGAGCAAAGTCTTAGGCGAAGCATTTAAAGGTGAATGGAAAGATTTATAGAATTTCATACAAAAATGGTGAGGTGCTGAAAAAGGCAAGTGACAGCAAGATGGATAAGGGAGGATGGGTTAAGGACATAAAGATTACTGTCAGAGAAATTATAGGAGACGCTTTTAAGAAAGAAAGGTTAGCACTGTTTTTTGTTATAGATCATACAAGTAACGTAATACTGCTAATAATTGCAAACACTTGCATGGTATATATCGTGTACCAGGAATAGTGCTGTGTACTTTATTTATATTAACATGAAATCCTCACAACAATCCTTTGTAGTAGTTGCCATTTTTCCTCCATTTCATGAATGCGTAAATTGGCGAATATAATATTTAAAATTTTTGGCTAAGGTCACTCAGGTAGTATGATAGAGTCAAAATTCAAACTAAGCAACTGGCTCTACAGTGTCTCTCTTAATATTGTACTTAAGAAATAATGTCCATTGGTGAAATTTATAAGAACAGCTTAGTCTAATTGAAGAAAAAAATCATTTAAGAAGCTTAGTTAGAAAAAAGAAAGGGTTGAATATGGCATAAGAATGGAGAGATTTGAGGATGTTTATATGCTGAGAGAAATCACTTGAGAGGAAGGAGCAAAATATAACATACAGAGTGAGAGGATTTAATTAAGGAAGCAAGTCTGTGAAACAAGGATGAAGATAAATATACCACTCTTACAGGGAATTGGTACTGCTTCCTTTGGAAAGAAATGAAAGGAGTTTCGGTTTCTGATAAATCTGTAGAAAATCTCAGGACTTTCATGCTTTATACATTTGTTTTGTGAGATAGAAGGCAAGAGTTGCAAAGAAGAAAGTAAGATGGACCAGAATTTTGAAAAGAATTCTGATAATTTGGAATAGCTACCATAAAAATACTGGGAAGATTGCTAAAACCCCACTTAGATCCCTTTCCTGTCTAGTTCAGTATATATAGATCAGTCTTCCTAAATCACCACTTTATTTGATTATCCCACTTTTAGAAAAACTTAATTGACCTTGTTATCTGTTTATGATTTCATATCTTTATTTAATAAGTCATAGAACCAAGGCTCTGTTGCTCAAAATCACTGACTATTCTGTTGCTTCTTTTTTCAATGTGCTATCTACCAGAATTCTCCAATTTTTATAAAATTCTTTTGATATATTGACTTGAATGACAGAGTAGGTAGTACTTACTCTGGCATTTAAAATGCTTCATAGTCTTAGCCCTTTTTTCCCTCTATCCCTTTCATAAATTCATTGGTTTCAGTCAGGTTGCTTATTCACCATTCTCTTTTCATATTGTTAATATTTTAAATAACTCATTCTCATGGATGACATTTTTCATTTTTTAAAAACAAAAATAATGTGTGCTCATGGTATGTCATTTAGATTTTTCAGAGGCATCTTTAAAATGAGAAGTTGCTTCTTAAGGTGATACAAAAGACTGATTTTTTTTTTCTTATTATGTGCTTTGTATTGGATGGTCTTACAAAATAATAATGTTTTGGTTTTTGACTAATCAAACCCATACAATTTTCATGTTCAACTAGTAAAATGAATTTTTTTCATTTTGTTTTTAAGAGTATTTTGGTTCAGCTTATATAAAATGTCACTGAAATCAACATAAATTATTATCTTTATATGCTTATTGTATGTAATTGCTATAGTTATAGAGATGACAAAAACCTTGATCTTTGTAGAACTTAGAAACTAAAAAAAATTAGAGTAAAAATATTTTCTTCCTTCTTAAAAGTTAATCTAGGTCAAGCATCGTTTGAAGCCATGGCATCAATTATAAATCGACTTCACAAAAACTTAGAAGGAAATCATGACCAGCATGGTAGAAACAGCCTTCTTGCATCCTATATCTATTATGTTTTTCGTCTGCCAAATACTTACCCTAATTCACCATCACCAGGTATTTTATTTCCTTTTACTATGAAACTCTCTTTCATAAATTAAGTGTTCATGGCATAATTAAGATAATCTCATGAATGTATCATGGTGTGATACATTCATTTAGTGTCAAACATTTTTTAAATATCCACTAAAACCATTCATTATACTATGTAATAGAGTTGAAGGGGTAAGTTACATTTTTAAACATTATTATTTTTTTACAGATTCCTTTGATTTGAATTAGAGGTCTTAGCTAAAGTAATGTTTGGAAATGAGCCTTGAAAATAACTTGTCTCTGGAAGCATTATGTCATTCCTTATTAAGATAAATAGCACCTTGTATTTGTCATTCAGAATGGTGTTAGGCATTAAAGAAGAAATAAGGTAGGTCAGTAATTCCCTAATAACGCTGTGAAACATACAATAATATAAAAAATTATAATTATAATTATATTATATAATTAAATTATAATTTAATTATATAATTAAATTATAATTTAAATAATTTAAAAATAATTAAAATTATTAATTATTAATATATATTATTATAATTATAATTTAATTATAATAATATAAAAATTATATTTGTCTGGAAAAGTTCTGATCTCTTCATGTCAGTAAAATAACATAACCTTTCAGAGTATTGAGCCCCAAGTAGTTACTTTTCTTTTGTATGACCTTGGTAATAGTGGTGATAGTTGTACAGGATGTCATGGGTTGAATAACTTTTTAGTGGTTCTGTTAGTTAATGATTATGTTGTACATACCTTTCAACCTGTTAATCTGTTTGCATGACCATTCATTACTAGTGATAGTGGTAAGTGTCCTACTACTAATCTGACTGTTTTAGCTTACTATTTCTTTTCTTCAAAAAGAGAAGCAATTGACTCATATTCTGGTTCATAATTTCCAATCATTATTTTAAATTGTACAACATGAGGATCTGACTGTGTGAGTGATAGTGAAGTATCAATAATGTTCTTGCATTTACCTGTGTACCTCTTTACTTAGCATACTATTTAGGGTTCTACAGATTTTGCAAATCATCTTTTTTTTTTTTTTTCTTTTTTGGGGACTAGAGGTTGAACCCAGGGCCTCAAACTTGCTAACAAATTATCTTTTTGTATGCTGACCTGAAAAAGTGTACAAATTAATTAGTTGACAGATTTCTATCATTTGCAAATAGTATATTCAGAAAGATTTCTATAATTAAGAAAAATGGAGCTAGATTATAGATACAGTTGCTGGATATTTTTATAATTATAGATCAGAAGATACAAGGCTTGATTTTAGTCAGACAAGAAATGCTTTGCTTTATTTATATAATCTGGGATCTTAGAATTATTTTTATTTTTCATTTGTATATAATAAAGATGGCATTTTGTTATTGTTTACATTATTGAAGACAGCGAAATGAAATCATGGTCTCACTTAAGAGATGTTGGAGTAAGTTGACTTTCTCTGGTAACCATGTGACAAGGGGCAGAGCAGGAGGGATGGGGAAGAAAGGAAGAGGCATCAGCTAGACCATTTTGGATCTTAGATACACCTATATCTGAGTGAAGACAGTGTTTATGTGTGTTTTATATTAATTTTTATTTTTATTGTGCATATAATGTAGAAACATTGAAGAGATGGTAATTATAATTTATTTGGTTTTGTGAATTGCTATAAAATAGATTATCTTTGTATAGCTCTCATTAGTTCTTGAGTTTTTTTTCTGTTGATTTGGTTTTTCTTTATTCTGTTGATATTTTTATGGTATATTTCATTTAGAAACAAAATCAACTCATGATCTCTGTGGAATTTTATAAAGTGGCAGAGATTGTTTTTAAGATCCTTTCCTGACTAATTTTCTGTATTTAATTATGTGCTATTTTATATTCATCTGTCTCTAGGTCCTGGGGGTTTGGGAGGATCAGTGCATTATGCCACAATGGCCAGATCAGCTGTGAGACCAGCAAGCCTCAATTTAAACCGTTCTCGGAGCCTTAGTAATAGTAATCCAGATATATCTGGGACTCCCACATCACCAGATGATGAAGTTCGGTCAATCATTGGAAGTAAGGTAAAAAAAGGCATAGTTTTCAGTTTATGAGCAAGTGACAAATGTCCAGTTATGTTAATTTCTTCTTAATTTTGAGTCGTAGATGAGTTAAGAATAAGCAAAAATTGTGCATTTCTATTCTATCAATAAACACTGTTTCATGTTTCTATCAAATATGCTTGCTGTTGCAAACTGGTTTGTGCACTCTGCTAAGAAAAAAAATCTTCCAAATTCTAAATTTTGTCCAGGATAATTCACTGTCACCTCATATCCAACCATATAAATAATGGCTACATTAACTTTCTGTAGAATTAAGAGGGACCTATATGACTAATGTGTAGAAGAGACATGTCATCATTGATGTAAAATTTGTGCTACCTTCTCCAAAATATATCAAGAACAATTAATTAGCTTTGACTGATCATAGAGCTACATTTCATATGAAATTGTATATAAAGTACACTAGGATTAGAAAAATATGGTTTATTTGATGATGGTTAATGATTATTAGGCCTTCTAGCATAAAATCCAGTTACTTTTATTCATAGCACCTATTTTTACCCCACAAAAATGCTTAAGGGAAAAATTATTATTATCTTTGTATGTATAAAGTACAAAAATAGCTTAGTGTTTAAAAAGACAGACAAAAGCAAATATGACTGAGGCCAAGAAATCACTTCAGGTTGTTTTCACCAAACTACTTCAAACTCTTTTTTGCTGTTGGAAAAAAGGATGCTATCATTTATATAGAATCATAACCAGCTTTTCTTTGGCCTTTTACTCTGTTTATTTGGATATAGGGAAAAACTAATAAGCACATTCTAGGATCCACATTTATGTGAACTTTAAAATTTTTAAAGGTCTGGATTTGTTTGTTCTGTAAAGTACTTAAACAATGAAAAATATCAGAACTGCTCTTATAGTGTGCATAGTTATAGAATATATACAGCTCATTAAGTACAGAAATTTTACACTCAGAATCTTCTATAAGCTTATATTAATGAACATTAACTCATTAAATATTCATATAAATATTGTTCATTTTAAGTAACTTGTAATTTCTCACAGATCAAAATATGTTTTTGCAACTTTATAAATTTAACAAATTTAAACATGTTTTAATATCTTATAGATCTATATAAATGTTTCTCCATTTAAACAACTTTCACTTTTTGTGAACTTCCTGAGAGAATGATTTACAGATTGTTATAGGGTAATGCAGAATAACTGGAGTAACATGAGAACTGCAAAAGAAAAGCCTGCTTCCAACATATATTTTAGGAAAAGTACTCATGTTTTTTATTCTTATTTTCATCTTTGTCATATCTTATTGTATTATGAATCAGATTTGTGAATTATAAATAACTTTGCTGTCAAAGAACTATGGACAATATAGGCCTCAAGGTTGTATTTTTAAAATACCTCTTAATTTCTGTGGGACATACATTATGCCCTCCTTTAGCATAATTTGGGATATTCCTTATATGACACACTAATTGATTAAAAGGTCAAGATTTACGACAGGTGTATACATAAATATGTGTGTATGTTTGTGTGTGTATGTATATATATACATGAAGTATATGTATATATTATATGAATTATTTTTTGCCTTTTTAAAAGAAGGTCATTAAATTATGATTTTTACGTATATAAATATAATTTTTTGGCAGTACTGGGGATTAAATTTAGTGCCTAGTGCTCACTGGGCAAATGCTCTACAATTTGAGCCACATCCCAGTCCTCTTGCTGTTAGTTTTTAGATAGCGTCTCATGCTTTTGTCTAGGCTGTCCTTGGATCCCAATCCTTCTACCTCGACCCCCTCGGTTGGGACAGCCACCATGCTTGGTTTGTTTTTGTGGTAACTTTTGGAAGAACACAATGCTGCAAAGCTCATATACTTGGGTTTTGTTATTTTTGTAGGATAGTGACTAAAAATGTAACATGACAGAAAGAACTTTGCACTTATACAATGGAGACACAATTTTTGGAAAATAGTGAAAAGCTTCATTTTAACTTACATGAAAAACATGCCTATGATTTATTTTTATTTGAAATATTATAATGGAGTTCTGTGATGGGGTATTTTATTTTAAACAAGTCTATTGATTATATAATTTGGACTAATACATAATTTACTTTGCTAGAAAGTTTTTTTAAAACATGTATGAAAAGTTTTTATAAACTGTTTTTGAGTTTACTATATTCAAGGCACTGAATAATTTACTTTTATTTAACCTGATCATTACAATATGAAGGAGACAATATCATTATTCCCATTTTATAAATAAGAAACTTAAGAGACTAAGTAATTTATCTTAGTAAGCAGGAGAGTCTGGATTTGAACCTTAAACTTCCATGTTAGATGTTAAATGTCGAAAATGAAGAGAAATGGGTAATTATTGTGTCATTATTTCTGCTTCTCTGTGTGTTTGGGAAAAAGAGGGAAAGCAAAGGAAATAGTCTCCCTAAAATCAGAACCCTAAACACTTGCTGTTTTCTTTTCTTTTTTCTTTTTCTGAGTTTCTGCTGATGTCTGGGTCTCACTTCTACCTACCTATTTTGATTTAATTGCTTTGTGGTAGGGCCCTGCATACTTTTGCTGCTGTGCTAATCTTCCCAAGGGGCACTACTATCCAGGCAGAGTTGGTTATCGTTGCTGTAAATTTTTCTTACCTTTTCTTTAGACCTGTCTTTCCTTTGGCAATTTCTGGCTTAGGTCCATATTCATGTCCCAATATCTTTAGTTAACTTGCCTTGGGTTTGGGTTGTCTTTGTTATTCTTGCACTGATGATCCTCTAAACATCCCTTGCAACTTGCTGCAGTTCTAATTAGCAGGTTTTCTGCCCTTAGCCCAGTTTGCTTGCTGTGTAGGCTTTTGAAGGGTAGAGCTCAGAATCTGAATTTTGTAAAACTTTTTAAGTAATTGTAGTGATCTCTTAAGTTTCGGAAATAGAAGTAAATCCTTAGGTCCCTTCACTAGAAATCATAGTAACCCTTTTCAGAAACAGATGGGAGATAACTTACTGCTGGTCATATACATTAGTAGCCTATTAAAGAAACTTTAATGAAGGTGATGATGGAGATACATAGATAATTCATAGATACATAGATAATACATAGATAATTCCTAACAGCACCTGCATTATTTTTCTTATAATATTTGTATAAAGTACTAATCTGTTGTGTTTAATTACAACAAGTACAATTTAAAAAGGAATGCAACTCCAAATCCACTGTTGTCATTCTGAACAAGGAAATTTTTGATACCTCTTTTTGTCATAATATTTTACTTAATTTGAATTTTGGAGGATCACTATAGTTTTCAACTAATTAGAGATGGAACAAAATAAAGGTTTTGAGGAAAGAATAGAATGTTTTTCTCCATTTTTTTCCTTGAAATCTCAGTTTAATTCAGAGGAAATGATCTTGTGCTAACTTACACTTTGTTTAATGAGTGTTTGGGAGGGTGATGCTATGGGAACTTTAGTTGTTGGTACTTCAAGGTGATCCCTTATAAACAGAGAAATTACCTTTAAGTGCTGTACTTAATATTTTTGGTTACTTTATAAATTATGTTATACAGTAAGATAATTTGGGTGAACTAATATTCTATAGTACCTAAAATTTTTGGTTGCTTTAACAGTACTAATTAAAAATATGTTTGCATTGGAAGGTCTGGATTTCTTTAAGAATAATTTATAGCATGCAACGTGTAATATTTCTTTCCTTTCCAACTGCTTTCTATTATATGCTTAGGGTTTAGATCGCTCCAATTCCTGGGTTAACACTGGTGGTCCAAAAGCTGCCCCATGGGGATCCAACCCCAGTCCAAGTGCAGAATCAACACAGGTGGTGTTTACATTAGAGGTTTCTTTATTGGCTGCTGATGTTTCCCTTTAGAACATTACTTTTTAGTACATACTGTGATTTCAGTGGCTTGTTGTTTTAATCATTAAAAAAGTGTGTATTTTTTTTTTACTTAATTAGCACATTTTCCAACTACTATGCATGAATACCACCAATTGCATCAATAATGCTCTCCTTTCGTGCTTCTTGTCTCCTCCCCCTTCCTCTTTATATGCCTTACCAGTATTTCAATGCCTGCTGCCTGTGCAATTGATAGCTTTATAACAGTTTCTGCCTTAGGGCTTGTACATTGTAAGTAGGAATTTTAAAATTTTAATGTGGAAAAAAAACACAACAGTTTTCCATTTGTTTTTGCTTTAAAGTGTTGCTATTATATCATTTTAATTTAGCCTTTACTATTTGTCTTTTTTTCCCTCCAGAATCACCAAATAGAAAAACTGGTATTAAGTTGAAATTAAATATAAGCAGTATATGATACCATGCTGTAAAATTAAATGCCAGAAGCAAAAATCCAACTTTATTTGTATTGTGTTGCAAAGTATGAAATTTGTTAAAATTTACTTGAATTAGATTTTGCTTACTTAAGACAGTTGCTTGATAGCTAATACTAATACTGCATGATGCCTCGAAACATACTTCTCACCTGTGTAGTAGCTTTGGAGGAAAATTCTCTTGTTCTTAAATTTGTAATTCTCTGTTTAATATTATAAATGACTTACATTTGATGTAGTCTATGACTTGAATGATGGATTTTAGAAATAGTGAAAAAATTAAAGAAATTATTCTAAACTTTTCTTCAGTGAATAAAAAATTCTTGATTTCTCTTTTAGTCAGACACCAGTTGAGAAGTATGTTTTTAATAGATATGTGCATGTGTACAGATCACACAGATAAGTTTCATTCTTTGCAGCACTCTAAATATTACAATCATTAAAGACTAAAAGGATATAGAAACCATTTTGATACTTCTAATTCATTGTTATTAAAGCAGCTTAAAATAGTGTAAATGAGTTGAGCAATAAAATACATGGTTGTTGAAACCATAGTAAAACTGTTTTAAAATTGTTCATAATCCTTAAGCTGCAAAGTCATCTGCTGCAATGTTAATGTTATCTCGTCATTTCAATCATCTTCACTCCATAGGCTATGGATCGAAGTTGTAATCGTATGTCTTCGCACACAGAGACGTCAAGTTTCTTACAAACATTAACGGGACGCTTACCAACTAAAAAGGTAGATTCATACAAAGACAATTCATAGAGGGGGAGGTTAATCCCAATAATTAAATAGGTGTAAGATTCCTTTACATAACCAATATGAGATATCAAAATAATTGCATTGTGTTTAAAAATATGTCAAGGCAAGCACTGATTGTGTGATGCCTTTTGGGGCATTCTTCTCTAGTATAGGCTTTTTTATATTAAGGTAATGTTTGTATCTTTGAGATTGACTATAGAGTTTAGTGAATTCAAGTTTGATCATAAAATTTTTACCAAAAAATGTACCAACTCATAATTCTGTTTCTGTAACTGCTTCTGTTTTGTGTTTTAAATCTCCAGGGAAAGGAAGATGAGTTAGAAAAATTATCACTCTTAGTAAGATATGTTGATTTGCTTCCCTTATGCACAGTTTTGTTAGTCCTTTTTCATATTAATATACACTACTTTGCAAATGCTTTGTATGCATATCCATTATAAGGCAGGAGTTTTCTGTTGTTTTTAAAAGATCTTAAATTTTTAAAAACTTGACAATTAATGGCTTATAGCAGTTCAGATGCCATACTGCCAAAAAATAAATAAAATGGAATGGCTTGTAGCAAAGTTTGTATTTGTAAAGGTATTTCCTAAATTGTACCAGCAAAGTTCATGGGTGTATTTGTATATGTTAAAATATTGTGTAAAACACAAAATTTTTTTATAACTGTGGATTTTTGGTCTAGTTTCGATTTGCAGGTACAATTGAGGAGGCCATTTCCTACCTGTCCTTTTAAAATTACATTTTACTCTGAGATAACATGTAATTTTTTCAGCTGTTCAACATGCCATTGTCTTATATGCATAGTCGTTTCGTTAATGGGTGTCTTCACTGCATCATTGAATGGTTCATATACTTTATTTTGCTTATTGTCATTATATCTTCATTTGTATTTGCATTCTTATTTGTCTTATGTTATTAGCAGAGTTGATTTTGATAATAACTGTGAATTTACTTCTGGATAGCTTTTTCATGAGGAGCTGGCATTGCAGTGGGTGGTGTGCAGTGGCAGTGTTCGGGAGTCAGCTTTACAACAAGCCTGGTTCTTTTTTGAGTTGATGGTGAGCAAACTAAAACACTTTCTTTATATTTTTTTTCCTCAGTAAACAATTTTGTGTTAAGTCATTTTTGATCTTAGAAATATTTTTCTATTGCACATATATGGTCTTATGTGTGGCTCCAGGACAAAATTACATATATTTCATTTCTAAATATACACTTAAGGGCACTCAGCACAATTTAGGTGAAATGATATGGTGTGAAGTTCATTTAACTGTTTTGTTTTTTTCCCCAAAAAATAGTTGCAGATGTTAGCTCTATTTCAAGGAAACCTGAGATGTATTCTTTCCTAATCTAAACACGCAAGTGAATAAAGGTGGTACCATAGGTTGTATAACAAAGATAAAAATAGCTTTACAGATACTTACTACTATTATTATGGCTAGAAAATTCTTAGGGAAATGCCAGTTACAGCCAATTTTAAAAGCCAGCAAATTAACTATTTTAATAAATAAATACATTTACATTATATAAAATATGTATACATATATACATAGACATATTCATAAACAGAGGCAACAAATATTTATCAAATGGGTATAATATGCTAACATATTACTAAGGCACAAAAAAGTAACTTACCTAAGTATACACAACTTGTAGGCAGCAGAACTGTGATTCAAACTCAGGCATTCTGGCACTAGAGACTTTTCATTTCTCTCCTTAGCTCTTGAAAGCTGAAATCACTGAAACTTTTTCTTCCAAAAAGTAGTACACAAAAAGTAATTAAGAAACTAAAAAATTAAAAAGTGAGAAAAATAAAAAAGAGAGAGAGGGTAGGCAAGGGGAAAATAAAAGAGGCTTCCAGAGTATATTATAGGTTCAATCAGCATTAGATGTTACTTCTGTTGGTGATAAGAAAGTATTTCTTTTCTACAGAAAAGGTAAACCAGGGACAAGATATAAGTGTCAGAAAACTTATTTTTGTTATTCATCTGCTTTTATTGTAAGATAAAATTATAATTTTGACTTAAGAAAGGTCTTACATGTATGTTCAGATTTCTTAATATAAGTCAAAAGACTGCAGTTTAAGACTTAGCTATAGCTGGCACACACTTGTAATACCAGCAGCTTAGGAGGTTAAGACAGGAGTATTGCAAGTTTGAGGTCTGCCTGGGTTACTTAGCCAGACCCTTTCTCAAAAATAAAACAAAACTAGGACTACTTCATGGCAGAGCATTCACTTAACATGTGTGAGCCCTGTGTTCAATCCCCAGTACTGGAGAAGGGAAAAAAAAAAAAAAAGACAAGACTTGGCTGTCTTGTATTGATTTTAGCTTCAGTTTTCTTAAAGTTTAAAAAAATTCTTTATTACCATTAATGCAGTGTTACAATAAAGAACTTTCCTAAAAGCATTTTCTAAACTTAAACATGGTGGTACATGCCTATAATTCCAGGTACTTGGGAGGCAGAGGCCCCAAGTTTGAGACCAACTTGAGCAAAGTTAGCAAGACCCTATCTCCAAAACAAACTACAAACCAAAACCCAAGGGGGCATAGCTTAAGCATTTATGAGGCTTGGGTTCAATCCCATTACTACCACAAAAACAAAACAAAAACTATCAATTTTAACTAATATTTTATTATTAATGTTTAGTTATGAAATACCTATTGTATTTCTACCACCTGCCCTCTGTGATAGGTGCTAAAGATACTACAGTGGAAATATAGGGCTTCTAACCAGTTTTTTTTGTTGTTGTTTGGTGTGAAGTGGTATTGGAATTTGAACTCAGGACCTTACACTTGCTAGGCAGGTGCTGTACCACTTGAGCCATGCCCCAAGCCCTTTTTGCTTTAGTTATTTTTCAGATAGGGTTTCACTTTTTGTCTGGGCTAGCCTTAGACCATGATTCTCCTACCTCTTAATCCCAGGTAGCTGGCATTACAGGTATGCCCCACCATGCATGGCTTGTTTGATGAGATAACTTTTTGCCCAGGCTAACCTGGAACCCTCATCCTCCAAATCTCCACCTCCTGAGTAGCTGGGATTATAGATGTGTGTCTTCATGTCCAGCCAATTTCTAACCTTTCAAAACTTGTAATTTAATGGTGACAGAATGGGAACATTAGTTTTAGAAAATTTTAATTAAAAATGTTCTTACAGAGAAATACTTTTTTCTGTTGATATACAATAAATTTTTTCTTGATAGCAAGAATAATTTTATGATATTCATAGATTTGAACTGTGTTTGATATTTCTTTGGCACGTACAAAATATCATATTCAAAATATTTAAAAAGCTGAAAATATTTTTGTCATCTATTAAATTACATGGTATATTGAAAGAATAGCCTGAGGATCTAGAGTCATTGTATCACTTAGTTAAATCATAAGAAATTAGCCAGGCATGTTATTTCCAACGTTCACGAGGCTGAGACAGAAGGATCTCAGGTTCAAGACAAGCTTGGCTTATATCACAAGATCCTGTCTCAAAAGAAAAAAATTAAACTAATGGCTTGTATCTTTATTCAGGTGAAGAGCATGGTGCATCATTTATATTTTAATGACAAACTCGATGCTCCAAGGAAAAGTCGTTTTCCAGAACGTTTCATGGATGACATTGCTGCTCTTGTCAGCACAATTGCTAGTGATATAGTGTCACGATTTCAGAAGGTAATGATAACTTTGTTTTCACTTCTGTTTCTTTCAAGCTGAGAATAAACTATCACATTTTCATTTTTTTTTTTTTTGCTTTATATTTCCTAGGATACAGAAATGGTTGAAAAACTCAATACAAGCCTTGCATTCTTTCTCAATGATCTATTATCTGTTATGGACAGAGGATTTGTTTTTAGTCTTATAAAGTCCTGCTATAAACAGGTAATGCATAGTTAGTAATAATTAGTATTAATAATCAATAATTTAAATACTGGGTTAGCTTTTCTCAAGACTGGAGTTTAAAGAGCACATTCATACACTGATGTTAAAACAAAAACAGTAGCACAAAGTAACATTTTGTTATTACTAAGGCAAAAAGTACATTATATTCGTTTTATCTGGACACAAGGACTATGAAACGCTGTTGCCAGTACAGCCAGCTTTTCCTTGAGTTGTAGTATACCATACATGACATGACTCCTTCATTCCCATTTAAGAGAGAAAGTCAAATCAGTAATAATGTAAAACAGCCTCAAGATGCCATGCAAGTGCAGCATTTATACTGAATGAACAGCTAATTGAACTATTTGTATCTTGTGTAGTTTTTAAAGTAATTGCCTTTTGCTGTGTATTCCTCCTAGTGTGTCCCTAGACATTGTAAAGTTTGGAATCATGGTCACATGTTTACTGAAGTCCAAAATATTGTTCATTATCTTACCTTTAGTAAACTAGAAGCATCCCGGACCTTTTCCACAAGCAGCTGATTGTGTTTTAAAAAATTTTTATCAACTGATTGATGAAGCCTATCTTTTGATATATACTGAATATTGGCTCTTGATGGGCCACTTTGGTAACAAGCAGTATAATCATTCCAGAATTATTACCTTTAAAAATATATACAAATCTCTGGGTTCTATCCCAGAATTACTCAGGTTGTGAATTGTCATTGGAGGGGAAGGATGATGTCACAGGACATGGTACTTCTGAAACCTTTCCCAGCTGACCAACAGATTGATTGTTGGAAACTACTGATCAAGAATTCTACTTGGCAGTATAATATTTAAAATTTTGTTTTTATTGTCTTGTTTATTTTTGTGGTGCTTTGAACTCAGGGCCTCATGCTTGCTAGGCAGGTCCTTTAGGATTTGAGCCACTCCACCAGCCCTTTTTTTGTGTTGAGTATCTTCGAGATAGGGCCTCTCGAACTATTTGCCCAGGGCTGGCTTGTAACCGTGATACTCCTGATCTTTGCCTCCTGAGTAGCTAGGATTATAGATGTGAGCCACTGGCACCTGGCTTGTCTGTTTCTTTCAGTAGAAAAGTTAACTATGCATTGACCACTTGCAAGTAGTTATAAAACACTTACGTTCTTTTCTGAAAAATTTTATGTCCTATTGCTACCAAAAGTTACCCTGTCTTATTCTTAAAGTATTGACTTTCTATACTTGCTAAACATTGAGGTTGACTCTTGTGATACTAAAGATACTAAATCAGTTTATAATAATATCTCCTCAAGTAGATTATGATATGATGGGAAAAGTAGACAATAATAAATATAGGTAAACACAAAATACTACAAAATGAATGCAGAATTTCTTTTAGGATATGATAAAAATGTTTTTGTTATGAAAAAAAAGTAAGTATACTTACTTTTTCCTCTGTACATTTTTGAGATGTGAAAATACTGACGCCATATTGGAAATGTAAGAATGTGACTTTTGGGTTAGTCTAATGGATTTATATAGTAGATCTTAAAGTTCCAAATCTTAAAGTTCCAATAATTCTGGAAAAGGGATACTGCTGGTTAAATTATAAAGCCCAAAACTGCCATTGAATACTATTCTTTCATCTTTCATTCTGATATTACTATTAGAGAAATAATAGGTTCTGTTATTTATGCAATGCTTACAAGGTGTCTTCAAAGCTTTATTCACTGCCAAATCCAAGTGTTCTGGTGTCCTTGAGGTTGGATTTTCTGCGAATCATCTGCAGCCATGAGCACTATGTTACATTGAACTTGCCCTGCAGCTTGCTTACTCCACCTGCATCTCCATCACCCTCTGTTTCTTCTGCAACATCTCAGGTATGCAAAGTGTGTGAACATGTATATTTTTTAAAGTTCACATTTGTGAAAAGGATTTTAAATGATAGATAAACAGTTCCATGTGCTTTCATCAGTAATAGCTCAGTGCATCCAGAACAACTCTCTAGGTGGTAAGTGCAGACAAAAAACCAGAAACACAGAAAGGACACTGAGTATAAAGTAGCAGAGCCAAACTTTGAACCAAGACTTTTTTTTAAAGAGTCTGAGCTCTTAAACACTATGTTTTACTCCTTTCACAGATTTGTGCACATGTGAGTTAATTCACCTAAATAAACTCATTTAACTTAGATGTTTTCACAAGTTAAACAGTTCTTAAAGCAGACACTGGGACCAAGTTTTGGGTACATGATGATTACTAGGGATCAATACCTGTGAAAGGAAGAGGGGATGCAGCATAATTGAGCAGAGAAAGAGTCAAATTGCAATGCCAGCCTGTCAGGCCCTTCCTAACTCCTCGAGGATAACCAGACAAAACTAGATAAACATTTCTAGCTTTCAGTGAGTACCACTTGACTTAAACAGCAGCTACTAGTTTCTCTAAATATGAAAAAGGGTTGTTGTAATAATTAATACACATGGCCTTAAACACATTGAGATTTTAGTATTAAAGAAACCAATGTTTTCCTCCTTCCTAGTGACACACTTTCTGTTATATTCCTAAATTAAACAAGCTACTTTCTTAAGCTCTTAATGTCTAAAATCAAAGTTGATCTTAAGCCTTTCTTAATTGTTTTTAAGATATTTAATTGCCAAGTGGAATTCCCTAGACTAGTTCATTCTCATGTATTTGATAAAAGAAAAATTTACATTTCTCTTACATAGACTGGAAGACACTTGAGAACACTCCCACCTTTAAATTTTACCTTTGCAGGACATCTTGTGGATCAGCTTATCTCCTTTGCTAACTGGCTAGTAATCCCTTCCTGTGAAGGATAAGGCTAGTCTTTAACTTGCTTTCTTTCTCTTTTGCCAAAGATGTGGCTACACAGTCAGAGACACATTAATCATAGATACAGTTCCTAAAACCTTTAACGAAACAGTTGCTTTTAAACTAACTCCTTACTGAACATCTCATTCATGCAGGAAATTCTCATGGAATCTCTATTATTTTGTTTACTTTCTCATCTAACTACATAATTTTCAGATTTTTTTTGGCGGGAGGCAGTACCAGGATTTGAATTCAGAGCCTTGTGCTTGCTAGGCAGTTGCTCTGCCGCTTGAACTTGCATTGGCTACTTTTGAGATAGGGTCTTGCTTTAATGCCCAGGCTAGCCTGGGCTTCAGTTATCCTATTTGTCCTTTCTCACATAGCTCGATGACAGGCATGCGCCACCATACGCAGCCATTGGTTGAGATAGAGTCTAGTGAACTTTTTGCTGTGGCTGGCCTCAAATCACAGTCCTCCCCCTGATCCTCACCTCCCAAGAAGCTAGGATTATAGACTTGAGTCACCACACCCTGGCTAATTTTCAGATTTTAATAGATAACAGATACATCATTTTATAGGGACAAAAAGGGTTTTATATATTTATTAGTAAGGTGGTTTCTCCATAGAGAAACAGAAATCTGTTGTTCTTCTGTGAAACTCCACATGGATGGTCCAGAGTATGGAATATACCCTGTGAGATGCTATTTTGTGAAAACTTAAAAATCCCAGTGAATAGACCACAAAATGATAATAGTTCCAAAGATAGTATGTTCTTTGAAAACTAATGTAATTGGTGTTTGAAATTTCTGTAGAAACCAGTGGCCTCGACTATGAATATATCTCTTGTATTTTGGGATGAGTGTATAGTATACTGTTTGGATTTAGTTGCTTTTTTCCCCTTCAGAGTATGATGTTGAAATTTAGGTGCTGAGATGGTAAAAGACAAAGCAAATGCAAAAGTTTCAATATCAGAAAAAAAAGTAATTAAACTTTTTGTTAATTTCAGTAATAAAATAATTAAATTGATAAAATCATTTTACCAGTCACCAATACCAAAAATAAGAGCAGTTATTTTCTCAAATGCTAATACTAGTAATGTAAAACAAACTGCCCTAGATAAAGTTTATCTTAATTTTTATAATGCTCACATTTCATTTGTTACAATGTCCCAACTATAGGCAATTTTATTGTATAGCTGTTATAGTTTTGTTCTGCCTTACTTCCCAACAGAGTTCTGGATTTTCCACAAACGTGCAAGACCAGAAGATTGCAAATATGTTTGAATTATCCTTGCCTTTCCGCCAGCAGCATTATTTGGCAGGCCTTGTGTTAACAGAGCTGGCTGTCATTTTAGACCCTGATGCTGAAGGGTGAGTAGATTGATTTTCGCCTTACAGAATAATAGTTTGATTTTGGCCAAATATTCCACTTATGCTTCCTAAGAATCGAAATAATACTGTTTCCCACTGTTTTAATACTTCTCTATTCATGAAGTTCCATATATATTATTCCTGTATTTCATCTACTTTAAGAATAACTTTTTTTTTCATATTTTGTCACCTCTGCACTTAAGATTGTCTTAAAACTAGTGGTATATCATGGTTTATTTCATAGCATTCTTGTTCTTAGTAGAAATATTAAGAAACTGTATATATTAGTAGTTGAATTCTTAGACTTACTGAAATACAGTAGGCACTTTTCAGTAAGGAAAATAAACTACTTTTCTATTTTATTCCTTATGAGGAAAATTTACCATTTGCCATCCTACTATATAGTATGTTATTTTAAAAATTGCCCTATAAACAAGGTTAAAAAACTTCCAGTGTTATGTACACTTGTAGAAGATTTTTGGAAATTGATATCACCAGATGATTTGAATTTATAGAAACAGCTTACTGTGTTATAGTCTTGCATCCCTATGGACAGTATCCATCTTCATACTTACTTTCAAAAATCTATATGGGGGACTGCTAGAGTGGCTCAAATCCCTGAATTCAAACCCCAGTACTATAAAAAAAAAAATCTGTATGGGAGCCTGGCACTATGGTACATAGTCACTCTTACTTGGAAGGTTGAGATAGGAGGATCATGAATTTGAGTTTCGCCTCAAATTGAGAAGGGAAGGGAAGGGAAGGGGAAAGAACTGTATAACCATAATTCATTTGGAGAAAATATTTTTAAAGTTTTTCTATTGTAGTTTTATAATGTGTCTTAACCTCATGTAAGAGCTTCAGAAAACAAAAAGAGATAACCTTAAACAGGTTTTACAAGGGTTCTCTGATGAACTTGAGGAAAGACTGAAACAGTATGTAAATTCCTTAGTAATTTATCAGGGACATAGTCATGTTCAATAAAATTTTAAAGGCCAAATCTTCTGCAAATGAAAGATATATTTTTAAAATAATGGCAACATCAGACATTTGTAATGTACTTTAAAGAAGTAGTTTTCACATTGTATTTTATAGAACTGCAGAGTTCTGAAGAGATGTTTCAGTAGGTTTCCATATAAGGTGGGGTCTGGTGTGTGTAGACTTTGGAGTACAGAGAGGGCAAACTAAAGCTGTGTTTGCTCCAGCTTTCATATTTTGTCATTTGACAAATGAATATTTGGAAAAAATGAGTACTTGAAAAAAGAATAAAGGGATCTATTTCTTGGGAAAAAGACCACTGTTAGGAAAAAAAACTTTTTTAAACATACTAGCTTTCATAATTGGTACATCTCAATCATTTGAATTGTATTTCCAATAATTTTACTTGATAAGCCAGAATTGCTTTGGTTACAAGACATAGAAAATTATTCTTAAAACTGACTTTTTAAAGAAAAAAAATACCATTTCACATTTGGAGAGAAGATAGGATTTTTAGTATGGTTCAGTCACCAGCTCAATGGTATCTTCATGTCTTACCCTTGTTGGAATCATCAACTTCATTTCTTATGACTGCAAGATAGTTACCACTGGCAGTTAAGATTAAATGCAGGATAGAGAGGGAAACCCTTTTCTTAGCATGTAATTTAACTATTTCCTTTGGACTAATTTGGGTCACTGGTTATCCTGAACTACCATAGTCACCAGAGCTGTGCAGGTTACTATATGGATTAAATTTCCTCTACTCAAAAGTGATCCTGTTATTAATGCATGGACTGTTTTTTACAAGAGCAGGAACTTTTGCCTAAATGTAAATCAACTGTGTTCCTAAACACAGTGTTTGTTGTTGTTGATAGATCTTTTCCATTAAGGAAGCAATGAACTGATTAACATTTGTATCTTCTCAGATTCATAAAACAGCTTGCCAGCTGACTACTACTTTACTCCTGAAACTGGAGATATAATCAGCTTCTCCAGAGCCATAGAGAAAGGAATACATACCTGAACAAAATTTTAATTCAATTAAGAAGGAAGACAGAGGAAATGTTTGTTGTATAGATGCTCAGTACTATCTGGTATAAAGAATTAGGTTTATTGCCAGGTGCTAGTGGCTCAAGCCTGTAATCTTAGCTACTCAGGTCACAGAGATCAGGAGGATCACAATTCAAAGCCAGCTTTAGCAAATAGTTCTGGGACATCTCACAAATACTCAACACTAGAAATGGCTGGCGGAATGGCTCAAGTGGTAGAGTGCCTGTGTTGCAAGCATGAGGCCTGAGTTAAAACCTGAATACACCCCCCCCTCCAAAAAAAATGAGGCTTCTTTTCTACCATAAGAATTAATTCTATTAAAAACAGGTTTATATGAAACAATAGAGGACTTATGAAAGTATTCTTTACTGCTATTTTTCCTTGTAAAGCTAAATGAGTTGGTCTTTGACCCTTAGTAAGATTTTCTATAAAACCCAAAACGTAATGATAATTTTGTTTACTACCACCTTTTCTTTATGTATTCATAAAGATATTAAAAGTGCTTTAAATAATAGTGTATTGTCGTATAACCTTAGTTTTTACTTCCATGTGTTTCTTCTTTTTCCCCATGCTTTCCTGAAACCAGTCCATTAGCAAATACCACAAGTACTACTTCCAACATATATATTAAGTTCAGCCACTTCTTTCTGGCTCCACTGCTATTTCCGTAATTGTGCTTCCATTTTTGCCTCCCAAAGAATTTGTTTTGTTTTATTTTTGCAGTACTGGGGTTTGAACTCAGGGCATTGTGCCTCCCAAGCAGGTGCTCTGCCACTTATACAATATGCCAGCCCTGAAGTAATTTTTCTACACAGCAGCCTGACAGTATTTTTTTAAATGGGAATCAGATTATTCCACGACCTTCCTTAAAACTTGTCTATGTGTGTGTCTGGAATCCCACTTAGAGTAAATTTCAAACTTTTAATAGTGGTCCTCATACCTCTGTATATCTGTCTGTGTCTACTCTTGCTACTGTCTTCCCTCCTCACATACTAAGACCTAACTGTTGTGGCCTTTCTGTTTCTTGAGTGTGACAAGCTCATTCCCAACATAGGGCTTGCATTTTTCTGTGCCTGAAGGAATGCTTGAATGGCCATTAAGATATCATACCAGTTTCTTCTTTGTGATTCTTCAGGTGTCAACTAAAACAGTATTGCTTTATTTGGTCAGGATTGCTTTGGCTATTCAAGGTCTTTTGTGTTTCCATATAAATTATACTACTGATTTTTCTACTTCTGTGAAGAATTTCATGGGAATTTTGATGGGGATTACCTTGAATCTATATATTGCTTTCAGTAATACAGCCGTTTTCACCATATTAATTCTGACAATCTGTGAATGTGGGAGGCCTTTCTGTTTGTTAATGTCTCCTTCAATTTCTTTCTAAAGTATTTTATAATTTTATTATAGAGGTCTATAAATAAATCCTCCTTTGGTGGATTTATTACTGGATTTCTTTCTCTTTTTTTCTTTGAAGCTATTACTAATGGGATTGTTTTATGATTTCTTCCTCAGATGTTCATTACTGGTATATAGAAAAGCTTTTTTTTTTTTTTCCCCCAGAGTCCTCCCAGATTCTGCCTCTGAGTAATTAGGATTAAAGCTTTGAGCCACCAAGCCCAACCATGAAAGCTCCTAAATCTTGTATGTTGATTTACCCATTTCTAGATTTTCCATTTTATCGGTATACATGTTTCACATTGTTTCCTAATAATCCTCTGGATTCAGTGATATCCCGTTTTTCATCTCTAATTTTATTAAGACTTCTCTATTTTATTTTCATTATTAGTTTGGCTAAAGGTTTGTCAGTCTTGTTTATCTTTTTAAAAAACCAATGCTTTGTTTATTGATTCTTTGTATTATTGCTTTAACCTCAGTTTGATTAATTGCAATCTGAATTTTTATCATTTCTATCTCTTTCCATCTGCTAACTTTGGGTTTGACTTATTCTTTTTTCTAACACTTTGAGGTACATCATTAAGTTATTTATTTGAGATCTCTGTTTTTTAACGTAGGTGCTAATTGATATAAACTTTACTCTTAGCACTGCATTTGCTCTATCCAAGTGGTTCTGATAAATTTTATTTTCATTTGATTCTAGGAATGCTTTGATTTCCTTCCCAATTTCTTCAATAACCCAGTTTGTTCAAAAGTGCATTGCTCAATATCCATGTGTTTGTATAGTTTCTTTTGCTATTGACTTTTAGTTTTATTACATTATTGTCTGATAAAATACAAGAAATTATTTCAGTTTTTTTTTATTTGTTAAGAGTTGCTTTCTGTCCTAAAATGTGATCTGTTTTGCAGAAAGTTCCATGAGCTCCTAAGAAAATGTGTATTCCCCAGCTATTAGATGGAATATGTTGTAGATATCTATTAAGTCTATTTGCTCTGTAGTACAGTTTAACTCTGAGGTTTCTTTTTTGGGGGGGTGAGGTGGTCCTGGTGATCGATCTATCTGTTGATAAGAGTGAATATTGAAATCATCTACTTTTATGGACCTGTCTATCCTTTAATATCCCTTTCGTATCTGGATATCAGTAGTGTCTGTTTTATGAAATTGGGTGCACCAAATATATATATTTGCAATTGTTATATCTTCATGGGTTGTTCCCTTTATTAATATGTAATAACTTTCATTATCCCTTCTAATTTTGGCTTGACATATACTTGTCAGCAATGAATATAGCTGTTCCTACTTGCTTTAGGGTTCTATTTCCTTAGAATATCATTTTTCAGCCTTTCACTCTCAGTCTGTGTCTGTGTTTGGCAGTGAGTTGAGTTTCTTGTAGAAAGCAAACAGGTCAATTTTATTTTTTAAGTCCATTAAGCCAGTGTATGTCTTTTAATTAGATAATTAAGACCATTTATATTTAGGGTTATTATTAAGAGGTATATCCTAACTTCTTCCTTCTTCATGTTAGAGGTTTGCTGACTTTCTAAGCTAATAATGTTTGATTTTTTTTTCCTACTTCTCACTTGTTTATCTGTTCTCCTAGTGAGATTTATTCTTTCCTAAACTTTTGTGCTTAAGTATGTCTACCTCTTCCTCTTTTGTATGGTATTCCTTTAAGTATCTACTACAATGTTGGCTTACTAGTCATGGATTGCTTTAGTTCATGTTTGTCATGGAAATTCTTTGTTTCTCCAATTTTAAAAAATAACTTTATCAAATATAGTAGTATTGGTTGTCAGTTATTTTGTTTCAGTACTTGAAATACATTAGTACATGGTCCTCTGACCTTCAGGGTTTCTGCTGAGGGATTGTTACTCTGATAGGTTTGCCTTTATAAGTAACTTGGTGCTTCTCTCTTGCAGGAATATTATATCAAGAAGTTCTTTTGTAGTCATATCTCTTTGGGGTTTTAAAGCTTCATGTACTTGAATGGACATTTCTTTCCTTTGATTTGGGAAATTTTCTGCTATAATTTCATTGAATGAGCATTCTATGCCATCAAGCTATATCTTGGTCCACTCTGCCACAACACAAATTCTTAAGTTTGTTCTCTAAATCGTGTCTCAGAGGTCTTAGATGTTGTGGTCATGATAACTTTTTTTTTCCTTTATTGCTATTTTAATGTAATTCCTTAATCTGTGTTTAACACCTAGTATTCTTTCTTCTACCTAGAAGTATATTGACAATGCTTGTCATTGAGTTTTTATTTGATTTATTGAGAATTTCATTGCCAGATTTCTGGTTTTGTTTTGTCTTCCAGAATCTGTATCTTTTTGCTGAATTTCTTGTCCAAGTTGTTAACTTTCTCATCTAGGTCTTAAATTGACTTCTTTATTACAATCCCCTCTGAGGTCATTGATCACTTTTCAAACTAGACTTTTGAATTCTTTGTCTGGCATTTCAATATGTTTGAATTCAGTTAATGAAGAGTTTTGAAATTTTGGAGGAGTTATGTTGCCTTGATTTTTTAATGTCTTGTGTTTCTAAATTGCAATTTGTACATCTGTTGGCATGGGTATCTCTTCTGGTTTTATTTGAATGTCTTCTTAATGAGTATCCTTCTCTTGAGAGCTCAATCCCCAGTACCATTCAGAGAGGAGAAAAGAAACCACAGACACAGCAACACCACTGTTCAGGCTGCTGCTATTGCAGACCAAAGGTTAGGCTGGTCAAGCATCAGTTTTCAGTGTCATGGCTGCATTCACTTTTCTTTTCATACTGGAAACTGCTGCTGGCCCCAGTGAACCTTGTTGCTTATGGGCTGGGTTCCCACTTGCTCCAAGGGACCCTCCTCCTTCCCATCCCCACCCCCCTCCATTTTTCACTCAGGGGCAGCACATGTCCAAGCCTAATGACATCTTCTTGGATGGGGAGACCTAAGGAAACCTGGCACTTTGCTTGTTGGTCTCAGCACTTTCACATCCTACATAGCAAAAGGCCACCCTGTGGAGTGGAGGAGGCTGGGGAAATGGAATGATCTGTTGGACTTGGGTTCAGAGCCCTCAGTTGTGCCTAGCAGCAAATCACATATAGCCAGGAGGTAGCTCCAAAGGCTGAACAATCTGCTGATCCCAAGCTATGGTCTCTAGCAGTGATCCACAGGTGATGAAGCGATCTGACTTCTTGCCACAGCAGGCAAAGCCATTAATCTGTGTATGCTCCATATCCTGAGCTCTCTACTGCTTCAACTTCTCAGTGTGTCTATGTCTGACCTTCCCCTGCTCCATAACTGTCTGTTGCAGCTGTCTCCCACTCAGACTGTCTCTCACTCTCCACTGGGAGAGTGTCCTTAGGGTCCCTGAGTTGCATTTATTCCTAGTTTTCAGGTCTTCAGAGTAATTAGTCTCAATCAATAGGACCCCGTCTTACCTCAGGAGCCAGACTATTATTTTTATGTCTGTGTTTTTCTCTTGCTAAAATAAACTCCCTAAAACAAGGGCAGTGTCTTAACCTAAACATCAATAATAGAATAGGGCTGGCGATATAGCTTAGTTGTACAGTTCTTCCCTAGAATGCATAAGTGTCTGGGTTCAGTCCCAAGCACTGCAAAAAAAAAATGCAGACATTGCATAAGTATATTTAATAATGGTTGCATGTGATTGAGTAACATGCACATATAAAAAAGCTTCATGCAAATAAGTGAATAGAATTTAGATAGGTTGGAGTCTGATAGCTGCTGAGAGGATAGGAATACCTATTCAGGTTTGAGAATTATGAGTGGTGATACAAGAAGTGAAAGAGGAGAGCATAAAAGGGAGAAACAAGTTCTCAGAATAGAATCTGAGCCTTGGGATTAGAATGATAGGGGAGTGTGAGGAAGGATGGGAACTATTAGAAAAAACTACAAAAAGCATATAAGATGGTAAAATATCAAATAGAGAACTGGAGAATGAGAACTGAAATATGTCCATGTAGAGGGTGTTTTTTTTGCTCGTTCCTTTGGTTTGGCTTTTGTTTTGTATTGGTTGTTTCAGTTTTTGTTTCCTTTGAGACAATGTCTTGCTTTGTAGCTCAGCCTGGCCAAGAACTTGTGAGCCTCCTGCCTCAGTCTCCTGAATGTTAGGATTATAGGTGTGTACCACCAAGCTTGACTGTGGCTTTCAACAATGTGTTTTTATTCACAGTTTGTGAATAAAAATCTGGAAGGGAGAAAAAAGAAATCTAGTTAGCTTTCATGTACAGCTACATAAAATGGCAGATAAGATCTAGTGTAAGACTACCTGTTTTCAAATTATAGCTTTTACAGTGAAGATGTATTTCAAGATAGGAAAGGCTTATTTGAAAAAAGAAGGGAAGAACTTAATGAAGGGAGTCATTGTTGAAGAAAGATGGGGTTCATGACATAAAAAGAAATCACTTTCTGAGAGAAGATACAACTTTTTCTGAGACAAAAAGAAAAGCTAATTCAGTAGGTATTAAGATGGACATTTGTTAAAAGATCTGGCTAGAGCAAATTCAAAATGACCTTTCCTAAGAAAAGGAGAAATTGCAGGTCAGGTCTTCTATTGAGATTGATGATAAGAGGCTTAAGGAGAAGAGAATGAGATCTGAAATTGCTATTGGATACAACTTTAAGGGCCAGTTGAAACTGGAGTGGATGAATTTTTAATTAGAATGGTTTGCATAGTCAAAATGCCTTCAATCTAAGAAGAAATAAAGAATGTGTGAAGATAAGAGTCACCCTTGCTAGAGTATTAGCCCAGTTGAAACTGAGGGGGGTTGGGAGTATAAAAAGAATCATAAGGACCTAAATGAGATAGATACATGAGCAGCGAAGCTCACGTATTTATCTCATGTAAACAGAGATGTCAAGGGGAACTCCAGCCTGTGCACTACCTAATCAGTGGACCGAGGATTTTTCCTTCAGGAAAAAGGAAGTAATTTATGATACATATGAAAAGATCTAATCTGATGAAATAAAACTTAAAGCTACTTAAAATTTACCTTTAAAAATGTTACTATAATTCCTGTTAAATTCTTTAATATTCAAAAGCACTAATAAGGAGTTAGTGTCAAAATGTTATTTTACTCCTAAGTGAACTCATATATTTCCTTTTCCTCAGTTCATATTTTGTACATTTCACACTTTCATATATTTTATTTACTTTTTAAGTGAGAAGTATTTTATAGGAATTCATGCAAATATAAATTCCAAAGTTAAGAAATTAAACCAGATAGATAGAATAGCATGACTTGCTGTTTGTTTTAAAGATATTAACTAATCTCTGTGACCTTACTACTACTTCTTCATCTCTTCTTTTTAAATAGACTGTTTGGATTGCATAAGAAAGTCATCAATATGGTACACAATTTACTCTCCAGTCATGACTCTGACCCACGGTACTCTGACCCTCAGATAAAGGCTCGAGTGGCCATGTTGTATCTTCCTCTGATTGGTATTATCATGGAAACTGTACCTCAGCTGTATGATTTTACAGGTACTTAGTATAATTAAGACATTTTAAAACTCAGTGTTTAAAAGTATTAGAAAATATCTTAAGAATAAAGATCTTAGGAAAACAAATATAAGGAAACATATACTGAGAAAAGTTTTATGTAAATATTTAGCCATGTTGCTGAAAAACTTGAGTATATGAGGGAAATTCAGTACAAGATTCCTGTAAGTAGTTCTTACAATGAATTTTTAAGTCATAAGTTTATAGCAACTTATACCTACCTTTTAGAAATAAGTTTGTATGCATATGTACTGTGTGTCTTAAAAGAAAAGAAAACTTGACAAGTTTCTACTACCCTCAGTATCAACTTTATTCCGAAATGTATATAATTAAAATTAATATTCACATGAATATCAAGAATTACATTTATTTAACATTCGGTTAATAAGTTGAAGTTATGTTGGCCTCTTAAAAACTAGCACCCACAAGCTTTTATTCCTCTTTTAATATTTTCAGTTTAGTTGAATGTTGAATTTAGGTTGCAACAGTTTTTTCTTTAGGACAAATGGAACTTAACCTGATAAAGTACTTCCAGTTTAATAAAGCCCAAAACATTTCTAAGTACCTGATAAGTATTAGGAACTGTAACAGGCACTGGTGCTTCAAACATAGCCAACTCTGCCTTTCAGGGACTGATAGTTGGATATAGTCTTCTCGGGATTTTGATCAATAAAGTAGGTTTTCTTATCTGAAGGCAGAAATGTTTATCTTACTACATATTTTTTAAACTGTTGGTTAAAATTCTCCACAAGCTACAAATTATTGCTGTAGAAATCAGTTAACATTTAAAATATTTAAAAGAGGTAAATCTAATCTTAAATATTACAGTTAGTGTTTAAACAACATGGATTTGAACTGTATGGGTCTACTTTTAGGCCAATTTTTGCGGGGTGGGGGGGATTTGCAACCATTTGAGAAAACGTACAGAGGAACCATGCAGCATAGAAATGCCAAAATAATTAAGAAAAACTCAAGTATGTCATGAATTTATAAGACTCTATGTAGATAATATAACAGTCTCTTTTATCATTTACTACCAAAAATGTATCTTACCTATTTTTCACTGTATATGTGAAGATATGTACAGATAACATGAAAAATATGTGCTTACTGACTTTTCATTATTGGTTAGGCTTCTAGTCAACAGCAAGCTATTGGTAGTTGAGCTTTTGGAGAATCAAAAGTTACACATAGATTACTGGCTTTGGGACTCAGCACTCCTACCCCCTGCATTGTTTGAGGGTCAACTATATATATTTATAGGTTTTTCTTTTAATGGAAAATAGGGAGAAGAATTGTGTGCTTAACAACTGTTAGTTGAGCTAAATAGTTCTGTTTTGTTTCTTTCCTTCAGAATCTCACAACCAACGAGGAAGACCCATTTGTGTGGCCCCTGATGATTATGAAAATGAGAGTGGAAGCATGATAAGCCAGACAGTTGCCATGGCAATTGCAGGAACATCAGTCCCTCAACTAACAAGACCTGGCAGTTTCCTTCTCACATCAACGGTAAAATATTCTGCAGAAATCTTTTTACAGAAAGACAAAGACATAGACGTGCCCTTAAATAACTTAGACTACTATATTAGCCCTTGCAGAAATACTTTGAACTTTATTTATTGCACAAAAGCATAATAGTTCCTAGAATATTACCTACCTTGTACTAAATTGTTTAAAAAACTATCATGTCAAAGTTGATGGGATAAATTGTATTATGTCATTCAGAATTTTGAAAATTACCTCGAACTCAAGATCCTCAGCCTCAGCTTCCAGAGTGTTGAGATTACAGTCATGCACCGCCACATCCAGTTTTTTAGTTTTTGAGACAAGATCTCTCTTATGTATTTAGGCTAGCCTCAATCTTGAATCCTCCTGCCACAACTTCTGAGTGCTAGAATTACAGGCATGCTAGGGCATACACCAGCTTTGCTTAAGGTATTTTTAAATGTATGGCAACCCTGTCATAGGTTAAAACAAACTTATGTTACCAGGAAAAAGTTCATTAAACTTCAGGCCTTAACTTTAAGGTTCTATATAATCATTTTATGTAAGAGTTATTTAAATCAAATGGTTCTTTTAAAAATACTATGTTTAAGCAATTTTTGTTTTGTTTTTTTGTTTATTTATTTATTTATTTTGAGATAGGATCTAACTGTATAGGCCAAGGCTTACCTCATACATGTGATCCTCCTGCCTCAGCCTCCCAAGCGATGGGATTACAGACATGTACCATCATCCCTGGCTTTGTAGCAGAAAACAGTTGACAACTAAACAACAGGAAATGGTTATTGATCTGTTAGTCTCATTCTACTGGTCTTTATTTTCAGAGTGGCAGGCAGCATACTACCTTTTCAGCAGAATCAAGTCGGAGTCTTTTGATCTGTCTGCTTTGGGTTCTGAAGAATGCAGATGAAACAGTTTTACAAAAGTGGTTTACAGATCTCTCAGTGCTACAGCTAAACCGGCTATTAGATCTGCTTTATCTTTGTGTATCTTGTTTTGAGTACAAAGTAAGTAGTCATACCATTGCAATGAACAAGAAAGGAAAAATTATGTGGAAAAGGAAGAAAATTTCCTTAATGCATCTTTTCCAATGTTTAAATTTTAGGGAAAAAAGGTATTTGAAAGAATGAATAGTTTGACCTTTAAGAAATCAAAAGACATGAGAGCAAAGCTTGAAGAAGCTATTCTCGGGAGCATAGGTGCTAGGCAAGAAATGGTGCGCCGAAGCCGAGGACAGCTTGGTACGTACGCAATACCTTCTCTCCCTGGTGAGGAATATTTTCATTTCCTTGAATTGTATGTTATAATCACCACTGTTGTATGTCTTCAGTGACAAGTCTATACTTTCAAAAAAAAAATTTTTTTTGCAGTACTGATGTTTGAACTCAGGGCCTCATGCTTGCTAGGCAGGTGCTCTCTCACTTGAGCCAGCCCTAAATATGATTTTAAATTCTGAATTAACTTGAGTAATTAATTCTCTTCAGGATATAAGTTAGAATTTTAATTTAAAGAAGGTGAACACAGTTCCCAGTTTTCTCTGGATAGTCTCTGTTAATGCCTGTTGCCCTTGTGCAATTATTAATAGCATTGCTTTCCACTCTTTTTTAAACCAGTTCATTGTTTTGGAGTAGTTTTAGATTGACAACAAAATTGAGCATAAAATATAGAGATTCACATACACCCTGCCCAGTATAGTTCCCTCCATTGTTTCCCACCAGAGTGGCACATTTGTTACAATTGGTAAATCTACATCAACACATCATCACAGACAGTCTATAGTTTACATTAGCGTTCATCCTGTATAGCATCACTTTTTACTGTTAAGAGTGTTTTGGGTTTCACAATAAATTAATATACTCTATATCAAAGCCAAAAATGTATCCGGAGGGGGGAAAACCAGTTTAGTAGCATTTGAGGTCTGTTTCTAATCCCAGGTCTGCTATCCATCAGCCATACATCCTTGGCTATATCACTTTATCATCCCACCATCCTTTTCCTCATCCACTTATGATTGTATCAAGAATTTAGAAGGTAGTATAACAGCTGATCTTATCATTTTGTAGTGATCATGTATATGTAAACGTTTGTGGATTCCAAAGTGATATGCAAATAATTTTATTGATAAGAGTTCCTTAATGGGATGGGAATGGCTTAGTCATCTATGTACATAACTCATGCTAACAGCACAGTATATATTTGTTGATTTAAAATATGAGTATTTATGTAAATGAGTATTTTTCAACTACAGTTTTCTGACAGACCTTTAGCACAGCGATCACTTATTTAAATAGCTCTTTATATGTTATCTGTGTTTGGAATTTAATAATGAATAAGACCCAATCTTCGCCCATGAAGGTAATAGAGCACTATTTTTTCCATTATAGTTATATACAGTTTACAACATACCTTTATGTTTTCTTTGAACTTATTTATTATGGATAGCCCTCTAAAAAAGTATGAAAACTAACTTTTACTTAGATCATTCAATTATCAAAACCTAATGCATAAATTACACTTACCTTTAAGATAAAGATTATAAAACTCAGAGGTAAGTAACTTGTCTAAGATGATAAACTAAGTGATAGAAGCAACATCTTTTTATTTTTAATTTAGTGGATTTTGTATTATACCAAAGTTGTTTCTGAGGTTTATTTTTGGAGAGAAGGGAACTGTTAACTATTACAAACTGTTACAATTTTTGTTACATTTTTAAATTTGTGGGCCTTAGGAACAGCTGTCATTGTTTGAATGTAAAAATTGATGTTCTTTGTCTTAGAAAACTTATGCCTTTATACTTCTTATTTATGGTTGAACAATTAGAAATCACTAATAATAGACATTCTTTTATTTTCTTTTTTTATTGGTATTGGGAATGATCTCAGGCCCTTGAGCTTGGCTAGGCACACACTCAACCACTTAAACCATACCCCCAGTCCAAGATACTCTTTTTTGTTGTTGTTGTCATTATCTTTGTTTTAGCAGTACTAGGATTTGAACTCAAGGCTTCCAGCTTGCTAGACAGGCACTTAGCAACTCTGCTAACCCCCAAGATACTCTTTTTTTTGTTTGTTTTTTTGGGCAGTACTGGAGCTTGAACTCAAGGCCTCACGCTTGGTAGGCTTGGTAGTCAGGCGCTCTACCACTTGAGCCACTCCACTAATGCAAGCCCTGTTTTTTGTATAGGATTTTTCAAGATAGACTCTCAAGAACTATTTGCCTCAGGCTTGCTTCAAATCTGGATCCTCTTGATCTCTGCCTCCTGAGTAGCTAGGATTGCAAGTGTGAGCCACCAACACCCAGCTTCCCCAAGATATTCTTAAGTAAGGAAGTAAGAGGTAATTTTTTGGGGGAAAAAGTAGTAAAGAGTAAAGATATTTTTCTAAATATCTTAATATATGCATTTTTGTTTTATTTCATAAAATTTTTCAAGGGTAGAGATTTCAAAATTAAAAAGGAAGAGAAGGCAAGAAATGAAAGAAAATAGAAAAAATACGTAGAACTGTCTGTCATTGCGTCAAATGATAATTATTTTTCAGTATGTTTTTAGATCCTATTTGAACTCTAAATTTTTACTTCCATCCAACCAATTTAAAGTGTTATCTTTTTTTAGTGATGGTGGCTCACACCTATAATCCTAGCTACTCAGGAGGCAGAGATTAGGATTCAGGTTCAAAGCCAGCTCTGTACAAATTGTTTGAGAGACTTTACCTGGAAAATACCCAACACAAAAAAAGACTCAAAATGGCTCAAATTGTAGAACATCTGCCTAGTAAGTGAGAAGCCCTGAGTTCAAACCCCAGTACCACCAAAAGTAATAACAATAATAAAAGTCTTACCTTTTTCAAAAAGAAGCATTAGTTTTCTAGTTGAAAGCTTGGTATCTGATTCCATTGTGTGTTTGTATATTTCTCTACAATTCTCAGTATCTTCTCACTTAAGATGGATTTGTGTGAGTCATTTCTATAGCCTCTTAAAATCTTCCATACCACTCAGCCTCCCTTCAAACCTAGAAACTTCTCAAGTGAACCCTACCTTCCTCTTTTCCTGCTTTGTAGACCAAAAAGGAAGTAACTACTTTAAGAATTCATTCTATTTTGTTTACTTATTGAACAGAAACTTTTCGAGCTCTTGGTATGGGCCACTTTATCAGCCTGAGCATAAAGTGCTGAACAAATTAGACATCATTTCTGTCCCTAAATAGCTTGAGTTCTTGTGGCCATAAGTGTTGTGGGCAGGAACAAAGCAAATTCAGAGGAAAGGAAGTCTTGGAAAGTAGGGGAAGACCTTTCTGAAGTGGTAATGAATGATTGCTCAATAAAAATTTATAGCAAGAACAATCAGGTAAAAATTGCAACAGCCATTTCACAGAACCTAAATAAGGAGCATTTCTATGCTGATGGGGAATAACAAGTAGAGCAGAATAGCTGTAATGGTATAAGCAAGAGGGAAAGTGGTAGGAAGGGATGTCACATCATGTGGGTCTTTCAAGAAAATCAGTTTTTGAACCTTTGCTTATAAAAGGTTGTTGGGTTTTTAAATTCAAGAAATATTCAATATGAGTGAATATATTTCTTCTATAACTACTGTGAAAATTTTTAAATAAAAAAACCCATTGTTGGGTCCTTTTACTTGTCCTGAGGGTAAAATGGCTGTACATAAAATTAATGATATACAGTATTTCTTGTCAGTTTGCAAATATACTTATATGTGGTCCAACTGAAATAAATTGGTTTTGAAATTTACTTGATAGAGAGAAGCCCATCTGGAAGTGCTTTTGGAAGCCAAGAAAACCTGAGGTGGAGAAAGGAGATGACTCACTGGCGTCAAAATACAGAGAAGCTTGACAAGTAATAGAGCCTGGGTCTGATGGGCTTGTCAGGTTTCAAATGCAGGAGGAAAGTGATTAATTTCAGTTTTAGTTTATATTTGGCATTCAAATCTTAGAAGATAAAATATTCATGTTTAATTTTAAATTTTAGATTAAAAAAGATTTGGGGGAAGAATTTTTCATGGGTCACAGTAAAGCAAATTTTTTTTATATTTTAAAACCGATTTCTCCAACAAATCCCCTTGGACAGTATATTCAGCAACTGTTTTTCACAAATTGTGTTTCATTTTCTTTGTTTACCCCTCTCACTTTACTGAGTTATGATTGACCAAAATGTGCATATTTACACTATACATTGTGACTTTTAATGTATGTGTACATTTGAAAATGATTACCACAATCAGGCTAGTTAACATCTGTCATCTCACAGATTTTTTTTTCCCCAAAGTTTTTTTTCTAATACATGATTCTATCTACTCTTACCAAAGAATTGTATTATCTTATGAGCATATTGGTAATAAAAATTAAAGGAGAATTCAGTGACACCTTAGAAATATTAAACACTTTTATAATGAATAAATACATGGAAAAATCTTTGGAATGCTAAAATGACTAGTATTTGAATGTTAACATGAAACAGTTTTAAATGCAAGCCCACAAAGCTCCACCTAGTGTCATTCAAAATTAAGCTGCGGTTTGCTGCATGTCTGAAATTTGAAGTATAAATATTTATACTTTTATAGGGGCATTATGCTACCATAGTGGAGTGAGAAAATGTGTATTGGCATAGCCAAAAAAAATACAGAATAAAACAAAGCTTTTTGGGGGGCAATACTGGGGTTTGAACTCAGGGCCTCACACTTGATAGGCAGGCCCTCTACACTTAAGCTACTCGAGCAGCCTGTTTTTTGTTTTGGGTATTTTTTGACATAGGGTCTCACTAATTACTTGCCTGGGCTACCTTTAAACCTTGATCCCCCTGATTTCTGCCTCCTGAGTAACTAGGATTACAGGCATGACCCACTGGCTCCAAGCCTAACAAAGCATTTTTAATATGTAAAATATTACCTTTTTGAAATTTTTTTATTCTGGCAAATACTGAAAATGATTTCAAGGTTTTCTTTTCATTTTTATGCATTCTTAAATTCTTTTTTTATATGTGGCTTTTCAAAAGATAACTTCTTATAATATTTTGTGTCAGGTCAAGAGCAGAGATTGAACATGAAGCACTAATTGACGGAAACCTGGCTACTGAAGCAAACCTAATCATTTTAGATACATTAGAGATTATTGTCCAGGTAAGAACACAAGAAAGGAATTTAAAAAGTACAGACTCGGTAAATTGGGATTGGGAGGAAAATACTTATCAAACTATATAATTATATTTAAATATCAGTAGTTCCAAAAAAACTTAATTCTCAGCAGTCTGTAGTTCTCTTTTTATAAATTACATCTCTTTATCTCTCCCCTTCAGAGCCTAGTCTTGCATTTACAAAGGGCTGCTGAATGTAGTTGGATGTCCTGCCATAATACATTCAACATGCATGAATAGCTATCACTACATAGAAACATGCTGAATGTATTCCTTATCTTCCACATATTTTAGCAGTGTTGTGGTGTTTTACGTACAATTTTCTTATTAGTAGCCTTCTAGATAGTTTTGACCCCATTAGTAATAATAGTAGTAACTAATATTTATTTGGTTTTTCCTATGTCAGCCACTGTCCTAAGCATTTTTCAAATAGTATCTCATATGGTCCTTAGAAGAAACTCATGTAGTTCAAATTTTCAGTAGCCACATCTTATGAATGAGAACAGTTAGCCACAGAGATTTTAAGTAATTGTCCATGATCACACAGCTGATAAACGGAAGAACCAGGATTTAAGCCCATTACCAAGCTCTCTCAGTTGTTGTAGTAAGTATGTCTCTCACTTATTCATTCCATTCTTTTTTTTTTACTTCCACCATTCTGTCAGGTTCTTATTTCAAAGCTATTATAATAGCTTTGGTATACCTATGTTCTTCCCTCTCTAATCCATTCTCTTCATTTCCATAAGATTCTTAAAATAATTGATTGAAATCCCAATTGAAAATTTTAAAACATGAAAAGTTTGTATTTCTTCATTGTTTAATTAAAAAAAATTAGAAACTCTTCAGACTTAGAGGACTCTTTATATTTTGGTACTTTATTAGCTGAAGTAGGTCTAAAGCTACTCGAAAAAAAAGAGGATGAAAAGAAATAGTAAATCCCAGATACCTAATCCAAGATACTTGCTCAAGCTCTAGCATTGATTTGTACTTTAGTTGGTAAAAAGGAAGAGCAGAGTGCACTTGTATTTCTAAGAGCATGCCTCAGAGGATTAAACTAATCTGTTCACTAGGGTTCACAGTCCCCAGGTACAATCTAGGATTTCTGGTTTTAAAGGAAGAAGGAAAGAATGATTATTGATATGCCAACTTTCTCTGCCAAGGGCACCACTCTAAGCTATTAAACCATTTTTTACATGAACTCAAGTTAGTCCAAGTTCATTTACAGTTTTTCCTCGAACAACATACTTTCTGCTTTTTGTCACTATATCTATGCTCCTCTCTTTTTTTCTCACTTAAATTCTATCCACTCTTTCCTTCTTTTATCCAAATCTTGTCCTTAAGTCCTCCTAGTTCTAATGTTATCATTTTCTTGTCTTTTAAGTTTTTGCTTTTCTTACATATTTTATAACTCCCAACCAAATTTCAGGTACATCTCTGTTTTATTTGTTTATTCTTAAATTGCAGACAGTTTCTGTGACAGAATCCAAAGAGAGCATTCTTGGTGGGGTGCTGAAAGTGCTACTCCATAGCATGGCCTGTAACCAAAGTGCTGTTTATCTACAACACTGTTTTGCTACACAGAGAGCCCTGGTTTCAAAGGTAGGTGATTTTTATACCTGTAATCTTGTCTGATATTACTTTCTTTTTAAACATTGTCTAAGATCGTTTGACACATTTTTTGGTTAGTTTATGTATAGTTAAAATTTGAATCATTACCTAAAACCCTTGATTTTTCCTTGTGTCTCTGCTTCTGCCCGCCCCCCCCTTTATGAATCTCTCATTTATTAGGATCACTGTTAACCAGTTTTTAGTCTAAAAAATAGTTTTAGCATGAGAAGGGCCTGAAATTAATAGCTAATCTTTAACTGCAGGCCTTTTCATACTTTCTCTTCATATTGTCCTGTCTGTTCCCTTTTTTGCTTGTTGTGTTGAGTCACTACATATCCTAAGCTGGCATTCTGCTTCTTTCTCCTGAGTGTTGGGATAATAGGTGTGCACCACCATACCCAGCTTGTCCATTCCTTTTTTAACTCAGTTTATTAAGAATTTATTATATACACAGTTCAATCCAGTAAAATTAATGTATCCCATGGCAAATGGAAAAGAAGTGTTTCTTTTTGTTCAATTACTTTTAATTTCCTATTTATTTTCCCTGGAAATTTGTGTATTCTTAAGTTCTGAAGGTAGCTATTTCATCTTAGTCATCCTAGAAGATAGAGTAAACAGATGGTGATGAAATTTAACCAGTGAAAATACTTATGTACTGTTTTGTAATAATAAAAAATATTACAGAATTCTTGCATATCAGTTAACTATCCTGTGTTTTTGCACATTGCCTATTTGAAGCTTTATAACAATCCCATGTAGATAATATTATTATTCCTACTTTATGGATGAGAAAACTTGTCTAAAGTCACTCTTAGCTAGTAATGACATCATCAGTATTTGACCCCAGTGTCTTTGGGCCATTTTCTAATGTTGTCCTTTAGCCATTCTTTTCATTTATGGCCTAACCTACCAGATTTTCAGTCCAGGCTGTATTAGCATATCTCTGGAACTTTCACTATAAGTTCAGTGTTGGATTGGAGGTGTGGCTCAAGGAATAGGTGTCTACTTGTCAAGTGTAAAAGCCTAACTTTAAACCCCAGTCCCATCCAAAAAAAAAAAAAATCAGTATTGATGTTCTTTTTTTACAGTTCCCTGAACTCTTGTTTGAAGAAGAAACAGAGCAATGTGCTGACTTATGCCTCCGGCTCCTCCGACATTGTAGCAGTAGCATCAGTACAATACGGTCACATGCTGGTGCCTCGCTTTACCTACTCATGAGACAGAACTTTGAGATTGGGAATGTAAGTATTTTGTCACGAGAATTCTCTGGGCTCACGATGAAGTACAGCACTTACAGACGGCTGTTAAACAGTTTTTGGAGAAACAGAGACTTTTGTATATTTTCATCTAATCTTAAACCGTCTTGTTTTTGGGTGGTATTGGGGTTTGAACTCGGCTTCGTGCTTGTCAGGCAAGCGCTCTACCACATGAGCAATGCCTCTAGCCCTGTATTTTCTTTTTAAGGCAAAGAGTTGACAAGCCTTTTTGTTTCAAAGTTTGATGCTAATTTTTGTTTTTATTGCATTGTAATGAAACAATCACATATACTATTCATCCCT